GCTTAAAAATTCTAACAGGTAACTTACAGGTAAAATTACACATCATCACTGTCAATAACCGGCACCAAGTAGACCTACCAAGCCAACAAGCAGAGTTAAGGGACTAACTTCATAATCTTCACAGCTATTTTCAATACACCACTCATCCGCCTATGAAGCCTCCATTTGGCCAGCGGGGGTGCAGAGGATAGAGTGAAAGCACGGCTGTGCAGGAGAAGTCTGACAACATTGTTTCACACTTACTGGAGTAATTAACTCGGAGGCAATTAAAACAAGGTGGAGAGCTGCTGAGGTGACACTGACGCTCAGCCAGCCTAGGAGAGCCCAACTATGCCAGAAGAGAGATCTTTCTGTTGTTGTTAATCTCTTGTCATGTGTAATATTGAGAGACAACCAAAATGATAAAATGATGCAAAATGACCCAACAAGCTTCACATCCTGTTAACAAAAAAATTATAATATTTATTTATATCCCTGTGCTCTTGTACAAGCAAGTAAGCAAGTTTTGAAGTGTAATTGTAAAAAAGATAAGTACCACTGAAAGTAGGTCAGCGATGTACTCCTACATCAATTATTTTGGCCAGTAAAAATATTTTTAGTACTTTGTTTTAAACCAACCCTTTGCCTGTGACCTAAAAAAATGGCTCTGAACACTTTAAGTGTCTCCATTCTCAATGAAATTTAAAGGACAAACACAGATCTCTCCAATCCATGCTTTATTTCATCTTCAATTCATCACTTATTTAGTAGTGCTGCTGTCCAACACATACTGGAAAATAACAAAATAACAAAAATACTCAAAAGCTCTCACATTGACGTTCTCGGATACTGTAGATGCCTTATAAGTAGCTGCAACTGATTATCATGACATACAATAGTCCATGTGATACTTGAGCTAACATATCTCCTCATGTGCTTTGACGGTTTACAGATTTCTGCGTTTACGTCATATTGGTAGAAGCAGAAAAGAAGCTTTCAATGGAATAATCTTTCTTTAATCGTGAATGGCAATGTAAATAGGGTATTGTATCGCATTGGTATTACAATACAATGAACTCCATCAGTCTAGATGCCTAGCTAGATACCTTGGATTACAAATATTGGTGGATGTGTTACAATGTTTAATTCAAATGGCAATCACCACTAAATGCTTAATGTCAGTGTGCTCTCTCTGACTATGCAGTTCATACTTGCAGGAAATCCAAGATTATTAGAAGACAGCATTTGAGTACTGGAGCACTGTAGCATGCTGACTAACAAATCTAATACCAAAATCTATTCAATTAAACAATAAAGCAAGGGGAAGTAAGTGATAAACATTTGAACAATCAATTGACACAAGGACCCAACTGGGAAAACAAAATTAAGATTGAAAATACCCTAAAATATCTAAATACGCACATAAGAAATGTAAAAGACATGGCATTGGCAAGAAAACAACAGGTTCTCTGGACGTATATCACATCTATCCAGATTTTGGCATGGCTAGTGTGAATGTACTTCCAGTGAAAGTCACATGGCAAGACAAATACTGACTCACAACCAGAACCCAGAAAAATATTTATTTTCTGAGCCACAAAGCCTTCTCACGGCTGCAGGCTCTGAAAACATCTAATTTATTTGAAGAAGGAAGCCATTCTCCTTTGAGATTTCCTCTTTCTGTGGGCTTAGATTTTCCAACTACAACCCACCGATGCACAGTGAAATACATGACACAACACTGCAGGCGCGTGCAGGTATACAACTGAGTGCAAAAGTCAAACACATAGCTGGTAAGCTCGCTACCAAGAGAGACCACATGTGTAAATTCACAATGTTGTTTGTTGTGATCTAAGGGAAGCGAGCCTGTCGCGTCCCATGTTTTTGTGTGTGCGTGTGTGAGAGAGGGGGGCTGGAGACGTTGCCAGCAGCTGCAGAGGTGACAGAGGGGACGCCTGCCTGAAGGCTTGTGGGCTTGGCCAGCTCCCACCACACACCGTCACACTCTGCCTCCCCTACTTCTCAAACATCCCACACTTCTTGCCAATCCTCTCCTCTTTCCTCTCCCCTCCACTCCACCCGACACACCCTTCCCCACACACACACGCACTCTGGCCACTGAGGAAGGGAGAAGGACGCCTAATGCAATTAGCACCCCTCTGAGCACTTTTGTGTTGATGAATAGAGGTGGTCTGGTGGGCCACTAGGCTGCTCGCTGCCGTTCCCGCGCTGCTGGGTCCCTGAATATACAAGCCGCCTAAGTGACGTCAGAGATGGACATTGCTCTTTAATGGTCATCATTTCTATAATAAATAGGTTTCCTGGCCCATAGCCTTATCATATTTTGGAATAATAACCAATCTTTTAGACAGAGTTTCAAAAGATAGTCCTATTGCCAAACGCAGCCATTACATCTTAAAAAAAAATACCCCAAAAAACAACAACAACAACAACAACAACAACAACAACACAATCTCTTCCTCTGACATATGTCTGTCTGTTCCTCATACAGACAGACTGCAGTCTCTGTACTATGTATGTTTAACATGACACAGATCTACGAGACACTCCTGGGCTGGAATTTGCAGATGTTAGCATTTTGACTCCCAAGTGCTATTAGAGGGTACCTGCAGATCTCCCCAAGTTAAATGGGACAGCTTGAAGTATTGCATTAAAATGAGTGTCAATGACCGAAGGCCACACTTTAGGACATGAGGAGGGGGGAAGGAATTAACTTCTCACTGCTTAGTAATTGCCTGCTGTAATAGAAACAAACAGAATCCTGCCTTCCACAGGCTGATCCCTCTATTCAACAAGCTCCCTCTTCCACTCTGGCCACTCACTGCATGCTGGGCCAGTTTAAGAGGCTGCGAGCTGGGGGCGAGGGACATTGTCTCGGACTCAAGCCATTTCCTGCAGATCAGTGGGGGTAAAAGCCCTGTGCCGTGTTGGGGGAGGAGTGTTTTACACTTCAGGGTGGGGGAGTCGTTTCAAGTCCATAAGCCCCTTTTTTGCCTTTGTTCCTCAGTGTCCAAGTTCTCACTCTGGGGAACACTGGGGAGTGTGACTCGATTTCACACGCCAGGTTGGCAGGGTGACAAAGGAACGAAAGTAACACGACTTACTAATAACATTCAGGAAGAGAGTAAAGCTCACTCAGAGGCTTCAGGTGCTTGACGGGTTAACTGCAGCTACTTTGCACTTTAAAATAGTTAAACAAAGACAGATGTTAAAACAAAACTCATCTAGACTTATTCATAAATCTGCACCAATTTAATTCTTTTTTGTTAAGATTAAAGATCCGGTCAGTTTCTCAAAGAAGTGTCATTTAAGACAGTTGAAGTTGTAGTCCAATTGTATCATTTTTCTATACAGATAAGAACCATTGGACAACCATATAAACAGGCATAGAGCATGCTGTAGTACGTCACTATCTTGAGAACTTCTTATACAGATATACTACACATATACACTACTCAATACATTACAAACAGTAGAATAAACACATAAGCACCTTCAGAAACCAATGAAACCTGTGTGGCTGTTTTAGCTTTTCAAATGCAATATTGTAAAGCTTTCAACACCACAAATGACCTCAGCACGTACATACTCTATTGCACGTGCTGAGGTGGTAACAGATCTTAAAACCTTGACAAAAAAACTGAAACTGTCTGCAAGCTAGATACCACAAGGCTCACGTGAAAAAACACTTTTTTGTGCTTTGGGTGAGGTGACTTTTGAAGTTCTTGCTCTCCTGTATCAGTTGGAAACTGACATTTAGATTTGTATTCAATTAAGCATCTAAAGTGGCTGCTAACAGACAGATTTCACATGAATGTTTATTACTTTGCCAAAACTTGCATGTTGCCACTGCAATGTCTGTTAAAATGAGGAAAGATAAAAACCACACTTGCAAAGACATACAGCATACAGTACATACAAAGCAGTAACAGTGCTTTGAAATTCAGTGTAGGTCTCCATAACAAGCTAAAAGGCTTACCTGATCCACCAAACTGACTGCTGGCGAGTGTCATTGTCCTGTTCTTCCCGTTGGCTACTGGAGGCGCAAACATCTACAAGACAAAAGAGGACAGATACTGTAACTAACAGAGCAAAGGACGGCACACTTCACACATCCTATTTCCCCTTTATAAAGGACATCGCATACACATGCCGTCCAGTTGCTGTGTGTTTTTTGCCTTACAGTGAGTTATAAAGTATTTACAAACACACAATTCCACCATCGATTAATTGACTCACAGCAGGAAAAACATGCTGGTAAAAATGATCAAGCTATAAAGATTGTTGAGGTCTATATTTACAAAATACCACAATTCAAAAAAAGTAATCCATTTTATATAAAAAATAAAGAGTACAACATTTTGAAATGAAACTTTTCGGACATATTTTCATAAAGAACCTGGAGTTTAACTTTCGAAAAACACCCTGATGAGGCCGTGGGTTTTATCACAAGCCACTGTGGGCATTTACCATAAGGCTATAGTGTGGTCTAAATATCTATGTGGCATCAATGACGTGGCCAAACTCTACTGTACAAACCAAACCTTTTTGTAACTAGGACACCATAACACAATCTGCCACTACCATGTATGATCTCCATCTCGCTTTGTTGAACAGGGTAGGGTCTACGCAGTCCAACAACCGATCGTCTTTGTTTCTGTTACATTTGGTCGCGGATATCTGAAACATTTTTAGTTTTGCTTTATTCCGTGTCCAATCTAGCATGAATTTCTTTGACTAGCCAGCAAATAAACAAAGAGGAGGAAATTTGTTTGTGCATTGTTCGACAGTTTCTCACCCAATTATCAATGTCATATTTAGACAGAACATCTGCTGATACAAATTGGCAGCTGATCAATCTTGAGTTTTTCTAACACAAACCCAACTGTCTAATGAGAACCTCCCACAAACCCCCTTCACAACAAGGAGCGTTTTTCTTTCATGGTGTAAGGTTTCCTTTAAATACCGATGGCGTGTTGGAGAATAGGACTACATTAACAAAGCAGCTGACTAAATCGCAAGTCATTATAATGGAGGTCCATCAACAAAGTTCATGCACAACAATGCTTTTTAAAAAAGAAAAAAGAAAAAAAGAAGAAATCACTAAAAAATGAAGCTAGTCCTGTTGTTCCCCAGTGTTACACATGATAAAATGTCAACGACTATTGTAATGCTATATACACTTCAATATTAATCAACTGTACTTTGTCAAAAGAAATCTCACGGGACAAATATCCATTAGGAGTCACAGTCTGGAATTACCTGTTGTGCCCCATATATAATAATTATCCAGGGCTGGCAATTTAGCCTTACCAGCTATTCAATTTATTTAGGAGAAAGAACTAACACAGCTCCATTGGGCCTATGAGATGTTTATTCAGCGTAAAGCTCAACAAAGGCTTCACAACAAAATGAAACACAGGTAAATAAAAGCTGAACAGAATACCTCTATCCGCTTTGTAGATAATGTCTGGAGGATACTTCTGAAAGCATCTTTGTGAAAATGTCTTCCTAAAAGACTAGAAATATGACAAAAAGAAATGCAGATGCCGTCTATGCAACCCAGTTTGTATATAACAATATTTCCCCCCGCAGATTCTGTTAACAAGACGAACAGGGGGGACATTTTTTCCACAGTTTCCTGCAGTTGTTCCTGATTCACTATTTACATTTTACAGTGGATACTAGTTCGTTGTAGTAAGGATCCACTTCCTTGTTGCTGTGTCTCTGCATCACCTACATAATTGAATAACCTATATTTAAAACCTGAATTCATTTTCACCAGTCACCCTGAGGTATAGCAGTATTTTTCTTTGATGTAATCAGCACTACCTTTGCATGCCAAGAATGAAGGATGGAAATATCTTGGGCTGACACGACCTATTGTTTGGAAAAAAAGAAAAAAAAAAAAAAAAAGATTTAAAAAAAATTGTGTTGCAGATTTTCTTTCCTCGCCCCTCTCCCCACTTCTCTCATTCAGACCTCCAGCTCTCCTCTGCCCATACCCAGACCTGTATCGCACTCTCTTTTAGCTCTTCCTCCCAATGCCACCCAGAACCACCCAGACTGCTCTCCCACTCTCTTACCGCACTGAAATCCAGGAGGTCGCTGAGTTCCTTGTCAGTTCCCACTGCAGCCATTCTTTGCTGCTGTTCGTTCATACCCTTCAGTCTCTAATAAACCCTATGAGAGAAATTTGCAGATACAGGATTTTAATGGCACTAGCAAGCACAAAAAGAAGTTACATGTAGCTCTTAAAAAAAAGGAGAATGATGGTAATGAATGATTCGAACTACTCTACCTTTGCTATGTCACAACCCTAGAGATGATTCTTATTGGCAAGTTGTTAGTCTCCCATAAGATACCAATGTAGGGCTATGTCAGCATTTTTCTTTAAAAAACAAAAACAAAAGAAAAACCCCAACAACTTTCTTATTGCCAACACCTCAAATTTGTGTTTGTAGCTTTCAATATAATATTAAAATCTAGTTCATCTGAGAAGTTACAATATGAAAATCAATTATCGTCTATGGAGTCTCAGCTGGCCAAAACATACAGCTCAAATTACTACCTCACTGAAATACGGAACGATGAGGGAAAAACAGACAACATTAAGCTACTTAACACTAAACACTCTAGCCGGGTCTACTTAAAAATGCTAATTTCAGACAGACCCTGCCTTCCCATCCAAATAGCAGAGACACTGCCATGAAATGACAAATACTCTGCCCTTAGTCAAATTACTACCAAGTAATGACTTAAAAATTGTCTTTCATTTTACGCAACCCTGGCAAATAACACAACCATATGTCGATCATTGCTACATAAAAGAGAATGTAATACATTTACAATTACAGGCATAATTGGGACTATTGTTAGCCCAAGGAAATAGGGGTGAAAGGCAGAGCTAATGACTGTATGCAAACACGTCATTACCAAATTACCATATGTCAACTCAGAAAGAACCTTGTCAAATGACACAGTGAGCATGAATACTGGATTTACCCTGTGTTTTGCATTCCAACGCAAGCCCGAGGCCGCTCTCTGATGCTGAGCAGTGGTTCTGCGAGCCTCACTGGGAACTAGTGGTAAGGGGAGCGAGTGGAGGAATAGAGGCACTTGGACACCAACAGGTGGTGTGCTTTTACAGCCTCTTTTATAATACAGCACTAGCATAAACTGATGCAATCAAAAAACAAAAACAAAAAAGATGGATGTTTTAGAAGAAATGTAGAAGTTTGTTGTAAAAAAATAAATAAATATGTAAACAAGGGGAACACTGAATATGTAAATTTATGTCAAGAAATTAATAATTTTAAATTAGGAAACCACTCAAAAGGCTAAATAAACAAAAAAAAAAAAAAGTATTAAATGAAATAAAATCATTTTCTACATGTATGAAAATAACACAAGTCACTTCAGGAAAGACAAACAGTGTAGTCCAGGTCTAGTCAACTCAGGCGAGCAGAACTAATGTAACCTTGAGACAAGGAAAGGAAGTGAACACACACAAACACATCGCCCCAAGTGTAAATAGGCTAGGAACATGGCTGTCATTGCTTTTCCAAAACTTTTGGATATGATGGCCAATCAAGGACAAAACAGGTCATATGCACCACTAAGATAAACTTAACATGCACAAATATTATTTAACCACTGAGATAAATGGAGTGGAGCACATGGAGGGGCTTAATGTAACAAAATGGCATCTTCAGCTACTGCTGGATCAATATTAGAAGCAAGCAGATTAGGGGTCTTTGTCACCCCACACAAGGCAGAGAAGGCAGGTCATTCTCCACAAAAGAGCCCTCAACAAGCCACTGAGCTAAACAGACACAAATCTTAATGTTCACAACAGCAAACACGACTTAAATGTATTGTTGTTTGGACCAAACATCATCATAATAATAATAATAATAATAATAATAATAATAATAATAATAATGGGCCAAATTAAGTTCCTTCTACATGTCTAACAAACATGTAATTACTTGGATGTTAACTGTTGTTGACATAAAGGGAGAGACAAAAAAAATGTCCGCAAAAGTTGTGTATGTATTTTTTTGCTGTTATTAGTCCTGTCAAATGTTAAAATAAAAGCAAAGTAAGTAAACTATAACATGTGTTAACGTCAGTGCTATTACTACGGGAACAACAAGGGCCCGCCGTACTTGGAAGAGAAAAAGCAAATTCAACTGTTGATTCAAATCATGTCGGAAAGAAATGGATGTAAAAAGTCTGGTGCCCAGGAAACACGTTACCATAAACAATAACCACTTTAGGGTTCAAATAGTTTATAACAATGACAGCAAACATCCAGGGCACCACAGGATGCAGGCTGTACATTATTTGATCATCTCCGCTAGGCCACATCCAGGGCCAAGCTACTGCTGACAACTAAACCCATTCACCGTTTATCTTGAACTATGTTGACATCCTCCAAAAGACTAACAAAAACCATAACATCCAGCCGTGTCTTCCTTGTGAAAAAACACAATTATGTGTGATAAAAAAAAATATATAAAATTAAATGAAAAAAGGAAACAAGTGCAGCGGCCGCAACGCTGGAGAATAAGAGCAATGCTCCCAAACTTCATGCAACAAAATACGGAGCCTCTTTCTCTCACATATTAGGGTTCAAGTCGTGCATTATGAGGGAGTTCAGTGGAGGAGACGGTGGGGGTGGGAGCATGAGGAATTTCCTGCCAAATGTGCAATAAAATAAAAGTCTAGCTGGTGGCCAGACACTTCCATAAAGGAATGTTTAAAGGGCTACCAAAAGGGGCTTTTATGGAAAGTTTTGTTTTCAGGAAAATACATGAAGGCCCACAACACAAAGTTTAGCTCAAATGCTCACCAACACTACACAACGTAAAGATTTCAAATGTCCACATACTAACTGGAGCTAGTGGCGGAGACACACGGTGAAAAACAAAATGAGGCTTGTTAGGCAGGACTAACATTTAACGTTAGTGCAGTCTGTCTTTTTTTTTCTCCCCTTTTTTTTTTGCAGAACAAAGGAGTAATTTCCTCCTCTCCGTGGTCGATGCGGAGACCATCACACACTTGGCTCGCCACCTCAAACCAGACAAAAACTTACATCCCCCGCTTTAACCACACATTCCCAAAAACTTTTCGAAAATTGCAGGCGTCAAAATAGGTGTCAGTGAAACCCATCGAATTCATGCAACTTCCCCGAAACATGAAGTGAAAGAAGGTGTTTTTTTACCTCTCCTCTCCAAGTGTCTGATATCCAACAGTAAAAAGAAAAGCGGAGACTCGCAAGGGGAAAAACATAAAACTTCAAGAGAATTTCGACCTCAGTGCTTGAAACGCATTGGAGCACCGTAGATGTCTTCCTTTTGTCCCGGTTAGCCTGTTTTTCACACAGCGCCCACGTGTTTGCTTCAATGTAACAAGTCTGTGTGCAAACAAATCTATTATAGTAACTAATCTCGCGTCTTCCTTTTTTGTTGTTACAACTGAGATGATTTCATTCTTCTCGTAGACATCTTCACCACCTCCGTCCACATTGTCAGACGCAACACCGTATCCCTCCGCACAAAAGTGAGGGCCTCAATGCCAGCGGTGTCCGATTTCAAACGCCTTTGAGAGACGGGGTGTTTTTACACAGAAAAAAATACAGCCGTAACGTCTTCCGGTTGCCAAAACGACGGAGGTTTCTAATCCCGAAGCTCAGTTTTGTGTGCCGTATCCGCAATCATCAAAATGCGGGAGCGCTGCGAGCACTATGTCGTTCAGCGGAAGGCTATCGTAAGAAAGTTACCTGCGATTACACAGCAGCAGCTTGACGAGATGGCACGATAAATGCGAAAGAGCTCAGCCAATGGGAAAGCGTGTGCGCTTGATTGACAGCAACGAGAGCCAACCGACGGCCGCGAATCCAACTAGTACCCCGCCTTCTTCTTGACGCTCACTTTCCCTGTGTGCTCAGGGAGGCTGGCTGAGGGGGGCTCCAACATGCCCGCTGACATCATTTTATTACATTGGTTGGTGTGTCCTCTTTTCCTTTTTTTTTTTACAAACAAAAAAACAACAACATTATCTTCTATACACGGCTTTAGATTATTTGGTTGTTATTACAATAAACACTAATAAAAACTGTAAACTAAATTATAATATTAATCGATAGTCTAATATTTTTGTCTAAACATTTAAATGGTGCTATATGTAAAACTAGCATTACTGGTACATAGACCTACTTTTTTTTTTCTATACAACAGTTTGACATAAGATGTTGTTGTTTTTTAATATAGGCCTAGTTTATTTATTTCCTGATGTATCTAACTACTCAGACTAGGGTTTTCTTTATTTTCTTGTTGTTTTTTTGTTTTTGTTTATTGTTGTTTACCTAGCACTTACATAGACATATTCTATGTAAAAATGAACATGTTTCCAGATATTCTCCGCTTCCAAAATAATGTTTGGTCCAGCTGACAATCTGATCAACTGCTGTAATCATGAAACATTGTTTCCATTAGGGCTGCAACTAACTTCTTATTATTGATTAATCGGCTGCTTATTTCCTCAATTAACCAATTATTTGTTCTGTTATCAAAATGACAGAAAAGCCAAAAATGCCCATTGTAATTTACCAGAGCCCAAGGAGCTACATCAAATAGCTTGTTTTATCTGACCAGCAGTACAAACCCCAAAAATACTCAGTTTACTATCATATATGACAAAGAAAAACATCACATCTTCATAATTAAGAAGCTGGAAACATCAAATGTTTCGCATTTTTGCGTGAAAATTGACTGGTTATCAAAATAGTTGCTGATTAATTTTCGGTTAATGTACTAAAATCTGAATCCATTTATTGTTTATGCTCTAATTTTTATGTGATCAGTCTTTTTTTGTGAATGGGCTGATAAACATAAAACCAACACACCCCTAGTAACTGCCTGCTCCAGAGCAGAGTGGAGAGGAGGGAGAGCAGAGAGTATAGGATCACAGAGGAGGGGGGGGGGAGTTCAGAGAAAACAGTTCAAACAGGGAGGGCACACCGGATGATCAACGCAAATGTGTCTGTAATGTTAAAATTCTGCTTTTACAAGATAACAAGACCAATACATAGACATTGGAAATGAACTGTAGTTTAGTCACCAGGATGATGATGAACCACTCACAATGGAATAAGATTAGATGACCTGATATGTAACTACTGTGTTTCCTGCCTTTATTCAATATGCACACAACATCCCTCACACAAAAAAAACACACAATAACCACTCATTTGAAAAGTGTATGTAGGTGTTAGACAGCTGTTGTTTTGAGCCTGAGGGCAAACCTTGTCAAAAAAGAGGGAGGTTGAAATAACCCCTCTTTGTTTCCAGTCTACAACTTCCAAAACTACCACGTTATATAGACAGAGATTCTACACATATACCATTTTAGAAAGACAGAAACCCACAGAAACCTTCAGGTGCAGAATGATTTTGTTAACATCTAAGCAGGCAGATATCACTATCGACCACTACAAAGGCCAACAACTTTTGAGTCACTTTGTGGACAGGATGTCCATGTCTCGGGTGTGAGCTGTATAACAAAATAAAGACATGGCAAATGCAAATTCCATATAGCTGCCTAAGTGTTATTATACACCCTAATGCCTCATACTGTCTGTTTGCACATAGTTTACCAATGGGATGGGGGATTTGCTGTCAATAGGACATATAGGTAAATAATCCATTGGGTGTCCCCTGGGTAAAGGAAAAGCCTCGGCACAGAACATTAATTAGTCTCATGGACCGTCTTAGGAATGTAATGGGGTTACTGCTAGGAACAAACGCACATATGGGCCATAAATACCTTCACAAACATACCATGCACACATTCACATTTGGTCACACGCACATACGCAGACATACGCGCACAGGTACTCACACACATTCACAAAAAAGAAAGGAAAAGACAGCCGTACCATCAGAAAATAATCGCAGCTATCAAAGAAAGGGCATCTTGAGTTATTTATCTAACACCTATTTGGAATCCTTTTATTGAGGAATGTATTAATCAAAAGATTAGATTTGAACAGATGGAAACATCTGTTTGGGGAAATGAATTTCTGGTGGAGGCAGAAAAAATCTCTCATATTCTCGCTTTTTCCAGTAGACGTTAGGCCTTGAGTAAGAATAGTGCTGTTGTCAGTATTAGCAATGAGGCTTGTAAGCCCTCCAAGTAGTTTGTAGTAACAGCTGGGTCTGACATGGAGAGCATGTACAAGGGCAGCCAGGCTGAAGAGAGGGAGGGGGTGGTACAAAAAGAATTAAAAAAAATATATAGTGAGGATCTTCACTTTAATGAACAAAGAGTGAGTCTAACGGTGACACGAGGTTCAACAGAAATTGGTTGTATAACATGAAACCGAAGACAGAAGAAATGTGTTTTAGAGCGTTACCCTCTCTATATTGCCATCACACCTATAATTTAAAAAAAAAAGTGAATTAGGGTGGCAGCACTTTCTCATTGGAGCCAAGGGCAATAGATGCTTTCATATGGTATTCCTGATATTGAGCAATGCAATTTTACATTCAGCTGTTACAAAATAATTAGTGCAGCCTGGAATATGTGAACATTATAATGTTGCTGTCCACTATTCTGTTTGTTTCGCAATTACCACACACATAAAATAACACATAGTGACCTCTAAAAGCTCAATTTTTATGCTACAATTATGTCTCATTATGCACAGTACATATATAGGTAATCTGCTGCATGGCAACCTAAAAGCTTACAGCGTCATTATACAGGAGGGACCAAACAAAAAACACAAACATGTAGCGTATCATCTCAAAGTACATTCACAGTACAATGGACAGTTAAAGGAGAGGGATGCTGTCACACATGCCCTCGTTGATTCCTTCGAGCCATTCCCAGCTTTATATCTGTAATTAACAACAGATGCACATGGAAAATTAGCATATGTTTGGCACATTGGTGCTAATCGGTCATATATTTGTGCATATTAATGACATATCTGTCTATGAACACATATTCTGAAATACATAAATTCACACAAGAAACAACAGCGTGTAATAATGTGTGTTTGTTACTTAATCCTCTCTGGATTTCTCAAATCAATAATGCTTCGTGGAGAACAAATAAAAAAGGGCAATCCGGCATCATAGCAGAGACGCCTCACATGTGTCACTTTTGATTCTAGCCGCTTTAACCTCCAATCAAAAATCAATGTTTTGTTACTACGATCTCAAAGCTGGGCTGCCTCAACACTCGCGCATGTTATACACCTTTTAGCACTCATTGCCATCCTGCTCCGCTCATAGGAAGCCAGTCATGCACGCCAAACCACATCACCGGGTTATATCGCACACAATGATAAGCCCGTAAACATACTGTATAGGCAGCACACACATAATGCACACAGAGCTCGGTGGTGAGGCAAGCTGCTCACCTCGTTCCATACTGAGCCCCTCACAGCCTGTAATAGTAGAGGCTTAGGTTTGGGTGGGGGAAGGGCAGAGGTGCACAGGTTTCTGATCAGACAAGAAAACTAGGCCAAGACCAACAATCCCTCTCTTCGAACAGCCTCAGCCCCTCCTAAATGCTACAACTTTGTTACAGCCTTGTGACAATCACTTGCAAGATTGTCATTAATGGCAAAGCAGCGGAGTGATTTTGAGCCACAACACGTGTATTTAGAGGCATAACAGCTTCTCATAGCCGGGCTATGATTCATGCTTCCTTGCCCCTTTGGAAGCTGTCCTCCAATAAGAGTTAGAGGCTGGGGGTAGGAGCGGATAGATTGATAGTGTTGGCTGAGTGCCCATGCTCTGAGTCTATCTGTGCTGAAGGGGAGGAGACAGGGGGAATCTATCTGTTGTGCTCTCTGTGCTCATGATAAACTGACTCCCGTCAAGCTTCTTCCCCCTATTACAGCTCGCCTGGCAGAAAACACCCAAACTCGCACTCACTTCCAACATGTTAAACAACAGTAAAATGTGTGGAGAGTGGAGTGAGTGATTTAAACGGGGCAATAATCCACAAGGTTACGCTATCCTATCCTACTATCTTTCAGCGATAGTTGGAAAGCATAAGCGGAGCAGAGCAATTGTTTTGGAACTAGTGAGGACAGGATATCTTCTTGAATTCAAACGAGTATTCAAAACAGGCAAACTCAAAGGGACACAAAGAGCCCAGATTTCACTTCATCACAAATGGGACCATCGCCAGTCGAAAATGCAATGTCTCTCTCTCTCTCCCTTATCCTGAAACTGTAATTCCGACAGAGCTCCATAGTGAGAAAGAAAATGAGTTTGAGGGATTGTCCATGACATTAATCCTCCCAAACACTACAGTTCTAGATCCAATACAGACAGACAAACACAAAGCAAATCAACAATCTATTTACTAAAGGAAAAACTAAACCAACAATCCTTTTGACTTCTGTCTGCTCTCATTTGACAATGACTTTCCTGGATGCCGCCTTCCTCTGTTCTCTCTGGTGATTTTATGGGACCCCTCCCTGCCATCTTGGATTCCCATTATTGTGCAGTTGTATGGGTGCCCCTGTTCTGCCACCCACGCTTCAGGTACAGTGAACAGAACACCAGCTTCCTGTTTACAAAGCCGGGCAATTGAGAGCTCCAGCACTAGACTGTACAGTTGAGGTAAAGAGCAGACAGGAGACTGCAGTGGTTATTGAATCTCATGTGGGTTTTTTTTTGTTTGGTTAAAAGAGAGATGAAGAATGGCAAGGTGAGAGAGAAACAGAGAGTGGAGCAAGCAGACGGAGAAAGTGCAAAGTAGATAGGAG